TTTTTAATAACAAACCCCACCCTCCCCCTCCAATACCACCCTATCTCAACCGCCCAGGGTCCTTTCTACCCAGTCCCTTACCAACCTTTTTGTGATGTATACTGTTTCCATTTATCAAGTACAATGGTGTGATCTATCTTGACTGATGCAGTGGCCATCAATGACAACAACAACCATGCTGCCTAATAATTCAAAACAGAGACAGAAAAACTAAATATTAAAGAATCGCAACCAACCACCTTACCTTGCGAGCACATGAAGTCATAGTATGTTTATGAAGTCATAGTATGTTTACATCGGAAAACGATGCCTAAAACAGTGAAAATTTGAACGCATTTATTCAAAAATTGGCGCGAAATGTCACAGTCGCCGACCAGGGCACTGGACGAATCACTAAAACGAGGCCTCAAAGGCCAGAACGCGTATAGTGTCTTGCAGGTTAGCCTCAACTCGGAGAAAATGCAAATTGCTAGGACTATTGTATTAACAACATTTTCGCGTTGTTTCTTTCGTTTCTGGTAAGGTTTGCGCAAGAGAATCTGTTGTCATATGAAACAGCGGTTATCCGCTTTGAACTTGAAAATGAGGTACAGTAAAACCTCTATTAAGCGGTCAGTCCGGGGAAAAACCAAGTGACCGTACAATAGAGGTTGACCGTTTAATAGAGGTCAAGTTGACAGAAGATATACATGACATCCGAGTTTCGGGAAACTGTTCGGTGACCGCTTAATGGAAGGTGGCCGTTAAATAGGGGATCGGTTAATAGAGGTTCCACTTTATACCTTGTTGTTACTGCTGTTGATATGTGATGATAGGCTCTTAATGAGAGTGCTGTTCAGTTTTCCTTGTTTAGACCAGTAGTTGCAGGCATTCTGCAGATACCTCCTAAATGAAGAAAAAACAATCAAACAAAATATTAGAAAAACCGAACTGAAAATCTGGTCATTGTCTTACTACGGGGTTCGTGTAACATCTTCACTACATAATTCCAGGACTTTTCAAGGAATTTTTAAGCACAAGAATGCGATTTTCCCATCAGTAAGTGTGCGAGTTAGTAAGTGTACGAGTAAGCAAGTGTACGAGTTAGCAAGTGTACGAGTTAGCAAGTGTGCGAGTTAGCAAGTGTGCGAGTTAGCAAGTGTGCGAGTTAGCAAGTGTGCGAGTTAGCAAGTGTGCGAGTTAGCAAGTGTGCGAGTTTGTAAGTGTACGAGTAAGCAAGTGTACGAGTCAGCAAGTGTGCGAGTTAGCAAATATACGAGTTTGCAAGTGTACGAGTCAGCAGGTGTACGAGTTAACGAGGGTCTCGTGGGCGTTGTTTAAAGAGTCATCATGATGTATTGTCCCTTCAGTTACCTGATCTCTTGGCCGTTAGGACTGGCGACTATCTGTAGAAGGCTCCATGCAAGGGTATGTGGTTCTGCTATAGATCTATGTAATGGGACTATCTTACTRAGGATGATTTCTTCTATTGTGCAGTAACACTTCTCCTGTGCTGTAGTCTCACGGTCAAGTACAAGGGGAAGAATTCCATCCAACCATAAGCTGATCAATAAATAGAGGATATTACATGGGCGCACGGAGATACGGATTTTATCTTCGAGTGTTGAAAAGATCTCTCACGAGTGAGCGTAGCGATTTTCAACACGAGAAGATAAAATTGGTATCTCAAAGCGACCATGTAATATTCTGTTTATCATATAATTAACTATGAAAGC